CCTGCCATCATCACTATCACCGCCATCACTATTATCACTCCTTCATCACTACACCATCAATACCATCATCATTACCATCACTACTATTATCACTACACCAAACAATACCATCATCATTACTAAAACCTTCCATCATCACTACCAACATCACTATCACCAAAACACTTCCATTATCCCCTACCATCATCCCCTACCATCATCACTATCACCATCACTACCCTGATAAATACCACCCTCACTACCATCACTACCATCACTACCTTATCACTACCACCATCACTAACCCAACAATCACTACCAACACTATCACCATCACTACCACCATCACTACCATAACTACCCTCACTACCACCATCACTATCAACACTATCACCATCATTACCTTCACTACCACCATCACTACCATCACTACAACACTATCACCCTCACTACCATCACTACCATCACTACCACCATCACTACCATAACTACCACCATCACTACCAACACTATCACCATCACTGCCATCACAACCATCAATCACTACCATCATCACTACACATCACTACCCTTAAACACTAACCATCATCCCCTACACCATCAATACCAAACAAATACCATTATCACTATCACCATCAATCCATCTGAATACCATCACTACCATCATCACTACCAACATCACTATCAAACCCTCACACCATCATCCCCTACCTTCATCACTACACCAACACTACCAGATAACTACCACCGTCAACTATCCCATCACTACCCATCTATACCTATCACTACCAAACCCCCACTACCATCATCACTTCCAACACATCCACCATCACTACCACCATTACTGCCAACACTATCACTACCTTTAATAAACCCCATCACTACCACCATCACTACCAACACTATCACCATCACTACCACCATCACTACCATCATCACTACCAACACTATCACCATCACTACCATCACTATCATCATCACTACCATCATCACTATCTACCATCACTAATCACCATCAATACCATCATTTATTACCATAACTACCTTATCACTATCACCATCAATACCCTCATCGCTATCACTACCATCATCACTACGACATCACATCATCCATCACTATCACCATCACTACCATTATCACCCGCCATCACCACTTTCCATCATCACTACACCATTCATACCATGATAACTACCACCATCACTATCACCATCCACTAAACCATCACTACCACCATCAAATATCACCATCACTACCATCACTACCACCGTCACTACCACCACACTACCAACATATTCACCATCACTACCTTCACTAACACCACCACCACTACCATCACTACCCAACACTATCACCATCATACCATCACACTGTCACTCCACCATCACTACCATCACTACCATCCCCTACCAACATCACTACCAACACTAAACCCATGACTACCATCACAACCATCACATCCACATCACTTTACCATCACTACCATTAACACTCCATCACATTACACCTCAATACCATCATCCCTACCCTCAAATACCAATATCCCCTATCACCATCATTCCCTCATGACTACCATCACTACCCTCATCACTACCATCATCACTTCACCATACTACCACATCACTGCCACCTACTACACCAACATACCAAAATAAATACCACCATCACTATCACCATCATACTATCATTACCAATTTTCACTACCACCACCACTACCACCTCCCCCCAACACTACACCATCACACCACCATCACAACCCCCCAATCACTACCCACACACTTTTACACTACCTCATACCACCAAACACTACCAACACCCCAACACCATCACTACCACCTCCACTTCCAAACCCCACACCACCACCACACCAAACCACTACCCACACTAACTCACATCACCCACTCCCATCCACACACCATCACTCCAACCACCATCACAACATTATCACACAACCCCACCCCATCAAACCACATTACCATAAGTACCAATCCATCACCAATCAATGCCTCATCGCACTAACACTTCCATCATCACTACAATAACAAATACCAACATACTATCATACTACCATCATCAAATACATCATCACTACCATCACTACCCTGATAACTACCCCCATCACTATCACCATCACTACCATTACACTACCACCATCACTACCACCATCACTACCAACATCACTACATCACTACCACCATCCTACCACCCACTAAAATCACTACCACCACAAACCCCCATCACTACCCTCACTACCCCCATCATTAACCATCATTACCTCCCAACACTACACTTCCATCACTATTACAACCCCCCACCACAACCACCACCACAACCCCCCACCACAAACCCCCACCACAACCACCACCACAAAACCCTCTCCACGAGCACCACCATAACCCCCACCACAACCCCCACCCCAACCACCACCATAACCACCTCCACGACCACCACCCTTTAAACCTTACCGCAAACCCCCCCACAACCACCACCAACCACCACAAACCCTCACCCCATCCACACCACAACCACCCCCACAACCCCACCTCAACCCCCACCAAAAACCCCCGCCACAACCCCCACCACAATCATCCCACAACATCACCACACCACCACCACAACCATCACTGCAACTACCCCAATTACCATAGCTACCCCCACTTCCCCCCCTACTGCAACTACCACAGCTACAGCAGATTCCACGACTACCACAACTACCACCCCTACCACAGGAACCCCAACTACTACCACTACCACAACTTTCACACTACCACAACTACCACAACTACCACCACTACCCCCACTAACACAACTATCACTGCTACCATAACTACCACAACTGCCACAACTACCACCAGTACCACTAGTACCACCAGTACCACTAGTACCACAACTACCACAATTACCACCACTATCACAACTTCCAAAACTGCCACCACTACCACAACTGCCACCACTACCACCGCTTCCACCGCTACCACAACTACCGCAACTACCAGAACCACAACCACGACAACTGCTACAACTACCCCCACTATCACAATTAGCACCACTGCCAAAACTTCCACAACTACCATCACTAACACCACTCCCACAACTACCACATCTACCACAACAACCACCAACCACCACATCTAACACAACTACCAATATTAGCACAACTACCACCACTATCACAACTTCCATCACTAACAAGTACCACAACTCCCACCTGTATCACAACTAACACAATTACCACCACTGACACAACTACCACAACTACCATCACTAACACCACTCCCACAACTACCACAACTACCACCACTATCATGATTGCCAAAACTACCACAACTACCACCACTACCACAACTGCCAAAACTACCACCACAACCACCACTACCACAGCTGCGAAAAACTACCACAACTACCACAAATGCCAAAACTACCACAACTGCCACCACCACCGCTATCACAATTATCACAACTGCTACAACCAACATCACCACCACAACTATCACCATTACCACCACTACCACCACTGCCAAAACTATCTCAACTACCACCACTACCATTACTACCACCGCTATCACAATTACCACAACTGCCACAACTACCACCACTACCACAACTGCCAAAACTACCACCACTGCCAAAACTACCACAACTACCACAACTACTACCACTACCACAACTACCACCCCTACCACAACTACCACATTTACTACAACTTACACCATTACCACAATTACCTCATCTACCACCACTGCCAAAACTACCACAACTACTACCACTACCACAACTACCACTCCTACCACGACTACTACATCTGCTACAACTTCCACCATTACCACAATTACCTCATCTACCACCACTGCCAAAACTACCACAACTACTACCACTACCGCAACTACCACCCCTACCACAACTACCACATCTACTACAACTTCCACCATTACAACAATTACCTCATCTACCACAACTATAAAAACGACCACAACTATCACAACTGTCACCACAATCACTACCACAACGATCACAACTATCACTACCACCACTACCACAACTACCACCACTACCACAACTACCACAACGACCACAACTATCACAACACACACAAATACCACCACTACCCAACTACCACACTGCCACAACTACCACCACTACCACCATACCACCACTACCACAACTACCACAACTATCACAACTATCACAACTACCACCACTACCACAACTACCACCACTACCACCACTACCACAACTACCACAACTACCACAACTACCACAACTACCATTACTACCACCACTACCACAACTACCACCACTTCATTATCACCATCTTTTTAATTAAGTACATTCGCAGAAGCCGCAGCAACTTGCGTGCAACAGGGATATAAGCACCACCAGGACCCTCTAAGAATTTCTCTCTTACCACCAGAGTCTCTAAGGACCTTATTTCCCCTTTTAAAAGATGTTCCCTAGAGCCTTTCTTGCCTCGCCTTTCCCCTCGACGTTTAAGAGACTCAAATCTGAGTGTGAGGGGAAGACAACCCCTCAGATCTGAGTGTGAGGGGAACACAACCCCTCAGATCTGAGTTTGAGGGGAAGACAACCCCTCAGATCTGAGTGTGAGGGGAAGACAACCCCTCAGATCTGAGTGTGAGGGGAAGACAACCCCTCAGATCTGAGTGTGAGGGGAAGACAACCCCTCAGATCTGAGTGTGAGGGGAACACAACCCCTCAGATCTGAGTGTGAGAGGAGACAACCCCTCAGATCTGAGTGTGAGGGGAACACAACCCCTCAGATCTGAGTGTGAGGGGAAGACAACCCCTCAGATCTGAGTGTGAGGGGAAACAACCCTTCAGATCTGAGTGTGAGGGGAGACAACCCCTCAGATCTGATTGTGAGGGGAACACAACCCCTCAGATCTGAGTGTGAGGGGAGACAACCCCTCAGATCTGAGTGTGAGGGGAAGGCAACCCCTCAGATCTGAATGTGAGGTGAACAAAACCCCCCAAATTTGAGTGTGAGGGGAAGACAACCCCTCAG